TTTTTTTTTTTAAGTAGTATGTACACCCAGTGTGAGGCTCAAATTCATGACTCCAAGTTCAAGAGTCACATGCTCTACCAACTGAGCCAGACAGGCACCCCTAAAAACTTTTTTAAATGTTTCTTTATTTTGAGAAAGAAAGCATGTGTGTGAGTGAGGAGGAGCACGCTGACAGCGCAGAGCCCGACGTGGGGCTCGATCTCATGAATTTTGAGATCATGACCTCAACCGAAATCAAGAGTCGGACACTCAACGGACTGAGCCATCAGGCCATCAGGTGCCCTTCTACTTTTAACTGCTGTTTTTACATTCAACAATTTGTTCAGAGCCAGTAAATTTTAAAATGGCATCCTCTGATATTTTTGATAAGATCTACAAAACGATTTACTGGGAAGTATTTATAAAAACAATGATTACTATACTAGAAGAGTTATCAGATCTGACCATACTACTTGTAGGACCTTGGACAAGTTATTTAAACTCTATGATCCAAGCTTCATCGTCTGTAACATAGCAGTAATACTTATCTCACAGACTGACTGGAATGAACAGGAGAGGTAATACACATAAAAGGCTTATTAGCACAGCTTTTGATGGTCAGGAAATGGCCCCTAGTAGAATTATCACCTAGGTTTGTTTCCCAACTTTGAGCTCTGAGCCCCAATACTCACCAACTTACAAACGCTGTTCTCCTTCTCCCAAATGCTACAATACCCTATCTAGCTTCATTAGAAGAGTTACAAACGCAATCAGAATTTTATTTAAAAAGATGGGGGGAAAAAACTTGTATAATCAAGTTTCCACTTTAAAAAAGTTAAGGAATTGCTTGAATTACCCACAACAAACTAATGGCGAAAGAAAAAAGAACTTTCTAAACAAACAAAATGGCAAGAACTGCAAATGAAAATCATACCTCAAACCAGCACAGTGTGGGACTCAGTTTTCTAATGTTCCATGCAGACTCAACCTTCATTTGTTTTGGAGAAAAGAGCAGTGTCATTTTCGAGGTAAAGTCATTCAAAAATAAAGTAAATATATCCATTCACTCAACCAGTGTCTCAGTAGTACTGCCATACATAAGAACTAAGAAGCGTCTGTGGCTGAGGAAAAATAATTGCTTTGCAGAAGCTATCAAAGGCAAGTTTCTGCCTACTTTCCTTGGGATTTCACAAAGTAAAGCTTTTCCACTGATAAGAGTACCAGAACATAAGAGCAAACAAGCAGGGGCTTTGAAACTAAAACTTAAAGCAAAGTGATGTTTGCTCAATTACTGTCCTTCTCAACTAACTTACCCAAACATTCTGTAAGTAATCTGCCAAAGGACTCAAAGATAATGCTGAAGGGCTGACTGTGGCACTTAAAAAGATGCTCGAAATAAGGCCTTTCAGAGAAGGCTTGTGAGAGTAAGTGCATTCTAAAGAAGGTCTTGAAGTTGCAAGACTTCGCGGCATCAAACATGCAAATAAAAGAATCAAAAATGGTCAATTTTATCAGGCATGACTGAACAGACTCACTCATTTCCTTAAGCAATAATGTGAAGTACTTTTTTCATAAAAGAAAATATTTTCTCCAAGTACAGTATCCTTAAACGATGAACGGAAACAAAAACCATTTCCAGCTATAGTGTGCCCGTGATATACTCGTTAATATTCATTTGGGAGTCAAATGCAAATCCCAAGAGTCACCTTTGAAATTTTCAGAATCCTAACAACAGAAAATTTGGCACATATCAAATTCTAATCCTAATACTATGCTAATGCTGTGATGGTGAGAAAAGCAGATTAAATAATATACATCGTGACCCAATTTAAATACACATACACACGTACACAATGAAAGACTGGATGAAGAGATGTATCTCCTTATAACAGTAGCTATTTCTAATGGCTGAGATTATGGGAAATTTTAATTATTTTTTTCATACCTATATTTTCCTTTTATACTGATAGGAATTATCTGCATAATTTTAAAAAAAGAAGAGCATATGCTCAGCTTGAAAACAACTCTTGAGCAAGTACAATTATAAACAGCTGCAGGGGCACATGGACTGGAAAGACTTTTTTGGTTCTTCAGCCTTTTTAAAATGTATGATCACTGAAATCGGTGAGAAAGACGTTAAACTCTTCATTTATAAAATCAAATGTGGATCAAGAAGAGATACAAAAAATGTTTATATTATTAAAACAAGACCATTTAAGAAATAATGTTCTTTACAAAAGGTTTTACTTTTACAAGATTTCTTTAAATAGCAAAAAAGATAGGATTCAGGTTTTTCAAAATGTAATTTACATGTAATTTTTTCAGAAGCATACATACTATATAAATTGAGGGACACCTGCAGAAAAATGCTCAGATTCCCTTTTTTGTAAAATAGATATACCTCACATCTGCTCATGGACAGCTTGGCCAGAGAATGTAAACGGGTATGGTAAAGTTCACCTCTTGCCAATGTCAAGTGTCACATGGAAACAGCCCTCTTTGAACAAGTCGTCTCCTAAAGAGATGAGAGTTCAGGATATCCTTTCTCTACCCTCAGCTTTATTGCCCCACTCCACCATGTGATAGACACTGATGCGCAGAGAGAGAAGGAAAAAAGAACAAGCCAGCAATATGTGCTCACATCGGTACCCACCACTAACACGCACGTGCAGCTCTGCCAGGAGCATCCCCCAAATAAATCATCCCAACAGGGCTTACTCTCCACAGGAGTGACGCCTTAGAGTTGATTTAGTCTGCTCACGTATGCCAACATGCACAGACACGTGTGCACTTACGTTCTTCTCTCCTTCAGTGACACGAGTTTCATAGCAATATGCCAGAAGGATATCAATCAAACTGTAGTACACTTGGCGAAGAGCTCTCTTGTCCAGTAGGTAAGATTTATTGACAAATTTTCGCAGCTGATATTTCTCTTCTTCAGAAAAAGACACTAGGAAAAAAATGCATTTAAAAATGAAACACTCCATTCAGTTTTGCAAAAAAAAAAAAAAAAAAAAAAAAAAAAAAAAAAAAAAAAAAAAAAAACCCAGTGCGGAGGATTTGTCAAAATTAGAACTTTGATTATAGAAACTGAAATAAGAGTAATTTAACTCTGAATATAGAAGGAACTTTTAAACTAGGCTTCACAGTTTTATTAAGGGCTGTGCATCTGCTCAAACCCTAGTAGAGCTAAATAAAGGAGAAATGTCTAAACAGTATTTATTCCTTACTTCCGGGATGCCCCCTCTTTTTGCTACACTGTCCTGTATTCAAGGCATCTAAATGCCAGAGCTATTGACTTTAAAATTCAGATAACACAGTTTGAGAACAGAAAACATAATGGCTAAATAAAGCACTCTGTAAATATTCATTATCCATTTTGAAAGTTCTATACAAAAGAATAGGAATATTCCCATATAATAGGCAATGTTAAGGGCAAAGTATCTATTAATATCTTTTAGACACAAAGTATTACCTACATAACACACAAATGGGACCACATCACACATATTTGACTTGTGGGAAGAAGATGGTTCTTTTCAACAGTGTGTCTTTTCTTCTCTGGCTTTCACCCTGTCTACATCTTCAACAACAGCCTCCCCCACATTAAAAATCTAGTATATATCATTTCATATTTTTCTCTATAATCATGTAATGCTATACAGACACATAAACATATACAAAGGAATTTATATGATCCTCCCTCCCCCACCCATAGAATTCGATCCTTTTTTTCCACCTAGCCTACCTCACTGAATAACTCTGGCAAATCTCTCCAAGTCAACTGGCACTTAGCTAATTTTTGTAAAGGCGCAGAATATTCCATGGTGTGGTATGCTCTATCCAACCACTCCCCCTACTGATGGGCATCCACTATGCTTCCAGTTTTCTGCCACTGCTAGTAAGACTGCATAAATGTCCTTACCACACATCCTTGGATACTGGGAGGTTTTATTTCTATAAAAGAGATTCCCGAGAGTAAATTCACTGGGTTAAAAAGTGCATCTGTTTTTTAAGAATACTTTATTTAGGGCGCCTGCGGGCGCGCAGTTATGTCCGACTTCCCCCAGCCAGGCCGACCATCTCAAGGGTCCGCGGAGTTCGCAGAAAGCCCCGCTACTTGGGCTGATGGCTCGAGCCTGGAGCCTGTTTCCAATTCTGTGTCTCCCTCTCTCTCTGCCCCTCCCCTGTTCATGTTCTGTCTCTCTCTGTCCCAAAAATACATAAACGTTGAAAAAAAATTAAAAAAAAAAAAAAAGAATACTTTATTTAAAGGCTACAACTCTCCTTTTTAATGGCCCTGGATACAAGTTCTCCTTCTACACCCATCCCTCCCACCCAGCGATAAATATCATAGCTTTTCCTACTCATTTCCATTTTAACAGATAGGAAGTGACTGTAGTATGAAGAATTCTAAGAGGAGACCCAGTGAATGTGGGCAGAATCTGTGACTTGCTTCTATCCAAAAGAATATGGCAATGGTGATCGGACAGTCACTGTCATGATTATGTCGCTTTAAAGAACAGACTGGAGCCAGAGACTCACCGCTGGTTTTGAAGAAATAAGATGCCATGTTGTTAGAAGGCTGTTTGGCAGGAGAGTGTGGGGGGCTGTGAGATGTGAGAGTAGCCTCCAGCTGACAGCCAGTAAGGGCACTGGGACCTTAGTTCTACAGATGCAAGAACAGAATTCTGCCAACCATCAAACGAGCCTGGAAAAGAACCCTGAGGTCCAGAAAAGAACATAGCTACCAACACATATGAAAAAAGAAAAGAGAAGATGGCCATATTTATGTACACCCTGATAAGACCCTGAGCAGAGAACCCAGCTAGCAAACTCGAGTCCTGAGCCATGGAAAATGAGTCAAATTAGAACTGTTTCTAATTTGTGGTAATTGGTTACACAGCAAAAGAAACCTAATACAATGATATACCACTGTTACTGCGGTTAGTATTTTTCTAACTGCTAAACTTTAAGCATTATTTTATAGGTTTGCTGGCAACCTCTGAACGAACCATTCAATGTGTTTTGCCCACTTTTTTCTATTGGATGGCTTGTCTTATCAAATTTTTAAGAACTTGCTGTTATAGATATGAACCCTAGTCATATCTCCAAATCGACTGTATCTCTACTGACTTTGTTTATGGGATCCTTTGCCATTGATTTATCTATTTTTTTGCATGTAGCCAAATACATCCATCTTTAAAAAAAAAAAAAAAGATTCTGGATTGACAGTCTCCAATAAGTTTCCCCAACTCCTGAAAATGTACATGAAACCTCTCATCTTTTCTTTAAGATTTACAGTTTCCTTTCTAAAATCTTAAGTTTTTAATCCATCTGGAAGTAATTTTTTCATGTTAAAGGATTCTGGTTAATTCCAGGTAAACAGTTAATTGCACCAGCACAGTTTGGTCAGTAATCCATCTTTTCCCCACTGTACCGAACTATTAGCTTTGTCAAATAGATCTGTTGTTTTCTTACTAACAATTATTTCCAAGCATTTTCAGCTTTAGTGACTTGTAAATACAATATTCTCCACCCCCCCATTTCCAGTAATTTTTGATAGGACAGAGAAAAGCTATTTCTTTTCACAAACCACCTTACCCAGTATTTGGCTGCCTTGACTAAAAAAAAAAAGCGAAGTACTTAATAAATGCTAATAGTTAAAAAAAAAAAAAAAAACCTTTATGTCTACATTGGTAAGGTAAGCAAGTATATAAGGCTGAAGTTCTTTCTAACTTTCCTCTGATGTTTACAATATAGACAAGCTATCGTCAAGGATCTATTTTCTCACATTAAAACATGAGCATTTTCTGGGGCTCCTGGGTGGCTCAGTAGGTTAAGCACCCAATTTCAGCTCAGGTGATGGTCTTGTAGGCAGTAAGTTCAAGCCCCGCATTAGGCTCTGTGCTGACAGCTCAGAGCCTGGAACCTGCTTTGGATTCTGTCTCCCTCTCTCTCTGCCCCTCCCCAGTTCACACTCTCTTCTCTCAAATATGAATAAATGTTAAAAAAAAAATTTTTTAAAACAATATGAGCATTATCGGTTATTATCATATATACGAAGTAAAATGCATCTTACCTTAGAGCAAGATTTACAGAAAGAGTAACAACTAACAACATAAGTGTACTCAGTTCCTAGCTAGTGTAAGTAAAACATGGCCTGCTACTTACCTTAGAGCGATTTCTTTTTTTTTTAAATATATGAAATTTATTGTCAAATTGGTTTCCATACAACACCCAGTGCTCATCCCAAAAGATGCCCTCTTCAATACCCATCACCACCCCCCCCACCCTCCATCAGCCCTCAGTTTGTTCTCAGACTTTAGAGCGATTTCTAAAGAAACTTAAGCATCTAGATATTTTAAGCTACCTCTAAAAAAAAGGTTATCAACCTTTTACCTTGCAAAGTAATCTTTAACTCTCGTTCCATGCCCTATCAGACCATTAGTTTCAAATTCACTTAAAAAGTTAGGCCCAATAAAGAGGAGCATTTTGCTTCCAGTTCCAGTGGTTCATACTAACGTAGTTCAAAACAAAGCAAAACAAAACAAAACTTTAAAAGGCTCTTTCTCCAGGTTTTAGAATTGCCTGTTACATTTAGGTAAGGACAGGCTAAACTGCTAACCAAGAGACCCCAAAATACAGTGGCTTCTCTGCAACAGAAGTTTGTCTCCCACACTACTATTCTGAGTGAATGATCCAGGACTGGTGAGGCATCAGCATCTCCATCATATGACTTCCAACTATGCATCTAAGAAAGCTGTTCCAGGTTTTTACCATTTCCTAACCAATGGGCAAGCAGCCTAAGACGGCAAGCTCCTTCAAGACCAGGGCCAGGGCACACACCACTTCCGTCATTTCCCATCACCCAGGACTTAGGCACAGGACCACGCTGAGGGCGAAGAAGGAGAGCAAAGGGAGTCAACGGGGAAGTCACTAGCTGCATGCTCACGTGTCTAGCTCCAACTCAGGAAGCCCCTGAGGGGAGGAAGACTAAAACAGACACCAGGTGGCTGTGATGCTTTTAGGAGCCCAAAAATTAAGTTGCTTTTTAGTATTCCCAAATCACTCTCTTACTAGTCAGTTACCCCATCCCTTCTATCTGCTCAACAAAAACTGCCCTTTTGCGGGGCACCTGGGTGGCTCAGTTGGTTGAGCGTCCGACTTTGGCT